CTTCTTTGTAAATGCACATTGCACGTCAAACTTAAGACATGTAAAGGCTTCTTTCATAAACATTTTTTACCGAGAAAATGTGTGGCAGTGGCCCACAATAATGTGAAAATAACTTGAGATTAACTGTTTGCTAATTGACTACTTTGAATTTTTGGCAAATAAATTCTATTGCGGAACAAAGTTTTCAAGCTTTTCCAGCGAGGAGTGCTGCAGAGCAAACCATAGGGCAGGGAAACCTCGTGTGCCTTTGTGTAAGAACCAAGGCTCACACGCTGCACGTGCAATGTATGTTAGACAGAAAATTTCCACAAGGTATGTACGCAGCATTCCTCTGCGTGAAAGCTGAAGGCAGCTAACGGAGCCATACAGTTTTACTCTGGGATAAATTACTGTTGTTTGCTATGCAAATCTTATGATTGTAATTAGGCTAGGATTTGGACGGCTGTGTACACTGATCTTTGTTCCCTCTGCGCACGGGAACTAATTCTAATGCTGCAAAACAGGACAGCGAATGTTGAGCGCTGCTCAGCCGGGCGATCGTTTCTTGCGAGGCGTCTTTGCTCGAAGTGGACGTTTTAAAAGGAATTATTTCCCTCTGGCTTCACAGGGCACGTACATCATACCGCAGGCATCTTGTGGGCCACTGAAGTGTTCAGGTACTGTAACGTCTCGCTTGAGAGTAGAGGTCGGAGAAAACGCAGGAAGGACTGCCTGATAGGCATCTCGTTTTTAGCAAACTGGTTTTAAAAAGTGGTGCTCTTCCGCTGATTGGTTAAGGAGCTGGTGGTATGTTCGAGCTGCCACGACAGAGATTGCAGTTCCTAGTATGGCTATGTATAGCTCCCGTTATCTCTGCAGACAGACTTTGTGTAACTGCAGCCTGTGGCTCCTTGCCCACGCTAATGAGCTCTCCCCGAGGCCGGGCTTGTGCCTGTGGGGGTGGCACGGCGCTTGGACAGTGCTGCTGTTTTGGAAACCTGAGTTTGTTAACTGTGCTCGCGTCCAGCTGGCCTGAGCCGCCGTGCCAGCTTGGCCGCTGCTGGCCGCAGGACCTCGTCCCCGTGCAGCGTGGCCGGCCCTGGCCCCGTCTGGAGGATGAGGCAAGCTGGGTGCTGAGGCTGCCGGCCTGTAGTCTGCAGCAAAGGGAGAGCTGTCACCTAGACCTGCACTGGGGGGAAGCACCAGCGTGGTGAGGACAGTACAGGTGAGCCACACTCACAGCCCGTTCTCTTCCCTGGGAATTTGGCTGCCAGTGTTTCGGTCAGCCCATGTGGTGGGAGTGCATTTTTCTGGTGACCCAAAGGGGAGAGGAGAGCCAGAGCTGCCGACCATGCCTCCCGATGGCTCGGCAGAAGTAGGAGCAGATGCATTCAGGGGCCGGGGTAGCAGGCTGGGGGCGTACAGGAGACGGACCCTTCTCTTAGCTCGTCCAGCAGCGGTTCGCAGGCCGCGAGCACCTCGCCCGTGTGATAAGATGGTGGCTGCGCACCCGCAACCTGGTCAGAGTCTGCACCTGCACCCGTGCTGGGCTCTTCTGTACGCCTGCCTCCCCGCTGCGGCAGTGGAGTTCAGCAAAATAAAAATCTTGGCAGCTAGAGGATCTATTAGCTTGTGCAGTTTTATCTACAAATAGATGAAAAAGGCATTATTCGGGACTTTTTCAGAATCATTGGAAAGACAGAGAGAAAGAATGAAGACATACCGTCTAGGGGACAACATAGCACTGCTGCTCTAAAGATACAGTAAATGACACGATCTGGTTTTTAACAGCTTGTAACTCCTGTGATTCTCATTTATTTCGTTTTGTTGCCTACTCATCTGAATAACAGCAAAGCAGAGAAATGGAGGCAGTTTTATTTTTTCTTGCATGACTGCAATTATCAATTATCATGACATCTAATCCACTAATTTTGTTAGTGTAAATACAATTTAAGAGAGCAGGGAAACTGTAAAAGCATCAAGTGAGGTACTAAAGCGCCTAACAAAAAGCAGACAAAACCTTCTTCGCAGAAAGTGATTTTTCTAACCAAGTGTATTTCATTCCTAGTGCAAATACGACAAGGTGTGTGTTGTTTCCATAGATGGATGCTCCATATTTCAGAACAGGTTAGGGTGTGTTCTGAGCCTGTTGTTGTTACATTTTACTTAAGCAGCCAAGTTAAAAGGGGGCATAAAATCTGTGTGAGCTTTGCAGGCCGGTGCCACGCTGCAGCTGTGATAATGTATGCATTCCTCGCGAATGGCATCTGTAATTTAGCATTGAAATACACGGGATCGTGACTTGCTCTGTAATTATCTCTGAGGAAGAATGTGAACTTGACAGTTTTGCACTGTTAGTTCGGGGGGAAGAGATTACGAAGACCCCCATTCCCCAGGGTAGTCCCTAAAGTTATTATGTTTACAGTGGTCCAATCCCGTGCTTCTGGCACACCCGGCAATTTTTAGTGTGCAGTCAATTCAGAGTCAGGGTACTAACATGCTGGTGTGGGGTCAGAAATTCTGTGTAGCGAATGTAACTCCAGGATGCCTGTTAAGTAACTAAGTCATTTAGTTTGCTTCATATCCCATGTAATGAAACATAGAAAATCCTAGAACGAGCCTTGGGCAGCTCGGGGTATTTTCAAGGTCCTGCGCAGCGATGCCAGGTCAGAATCCCAAGCCGTACTAGGATGGTGCTTAAAAACCTCTTCCAGCTCTGCAGCTGATTTCATTCAGCGCTAGCCGACAGCCTTGTCGTCGTGCCGGTTAGGCATGCTGCCTGGGGAGCCGTCTCTGGGGCCACTAACCTCAGTGGCATGCTCGGCACCCATTCGGATGCAAAGCTGTCCCTGATTTTGGAGGAGTGCTGCCCTAGCACCCACCCTGCATGAATAGTTTCAGACTTGGATGCGGAGGACCAAGGCGGGTTAGTTAATGGGGCACGAGTGCTGAATTTGGAGGCCGATTCAAGGGAGACCCTTTTTCCCTGCTTTCCCTTTCCAGCCTTCCCGTGAGCTGCCCACCCTGGGGCCTCCGCTGCCCTGGGGGTGGCTGGAAGGTTTGCTCAGGAGCTCAGTAGTGATGAATCACAGAGGCATGGCATGGATTGATAAGGTCGTGTACTTTACGATTAGATACATCCTTCCTCTAACAGCGGTTCTTTGTCTCCATTTTGCTTTTGGTCATGTTTTTCGGCAGTTTGCATACAACAGCTCTCCAAGCAGGAGCTGTTTGACTTGAGACAAAGTCACTATTATTCTAGTTAAGCTCGGGAAGCCCCCATAATTTTGTTGCCCTCAGAAGACATAGATTGTTGGCAATTTATTTAAAAGCCAATTAAGTTAAATCACCAAGAAAATATTTTTTTTTTCTTGTAGCCTAGCTGTAAAGGACTTTCAGGTACATAAAACAGTGTGTAACAATAAAAAGCAGCTGTATTTTTTTTTTTGTGCATTTTAAGTGATGGCTGTAGAGTGGCATGTTCTTTATCTGTAGCAGTAGCAAAAAAAATCATGTATTTCAGCTATTCGTAGTGCAGGTGGGCAGTCTGGGAGCCATGGCAAAAGAAAACTATTATGTGGTCACCAAATTATTGAAAAATGTGGACTACTGCAATGCCTGCAGCCTGACCAACATGCAAGTCTACCTCCTCATTTAGAGTTGATGGAGAGCCCAAAGAACTCAGTAGGAACACTTCAGGCTTATTTGGGGACATTTTGGACTAGACTGTCAAGGGCATGTCATTTAGCCTACTTGTGTTTACAAACTGAAACCTTTTTGAGCTACCCTGAATATGGCGTTTATGGTGCTACTGTCCTTTCTCAAAGACTATCTCCGCTGTCTCTCCAGGCAGTGCCTCCTGAGCCCTTATGCTTCTCTTGACCTCTCTTTGGCTACGAGCCCCTGTCTGTGGTGAAGCCTCACCTCTCATGCCCCAGTCTCTGCTGCAGCGTCCCGTGGCTCCCTTGGACTCTCTCGGCTGTTCTGGCTCCCCTCCTCTGCTGCTTATTGTCGCTTACTGAATAGACTTGCTCAGCAGAGTTTTCAGAAGTAAAACAAAACGAGGTAGTCATGGATGACCAATATAATTTTCCTTCTAACTCAGTCGTAAAGCTTTGTAGGCTCGCTGGTTTGGTTTCTACTGTCTATAAAAAGGTTTTGTGCAAGAAGTCCCCCTTTTCCCATCACCCTGCATGACACCAGTGCCGGGATGACCTTCTGCTGGAGAGTCTCATTGCTCAGTTGTGTCGCTGCTCCGTATGAGTTCCCCTGGCAACCAGTTTGAGCTACACTGAACCAAAAATACCTCACTGTGCTGGGGAAAAGTCAGTTTGCAGATGGGTGTTTCTCATCAGTGACTTCTCTGGATGGTTCGTGTGTTCAACCTGCAGATGTCATTATTGTGAACCAATGACTGGGAGATGCCTTGTGTCCCTTTTGATTACTTCCACAGGCAGTACAGTCTATGAGAAGGCTGCCCTTGTGTGATTCCCGACCGAGCTGTGACTTTAAGACCCATCGTACTCATTTTTCATGGTGGACCAAGGGTCTTGTCTTCTATTGAGAATGGTCTGTGCAGGCTCACAAAGTCACAGTGATCTGTCTTGGACTCCTTGGATCTCTGCAAATTACCTTGGTCATTACTAGCGACTTTGCCCTTCTCTCTATTTCAATATAAATATATGCACCTTGATTTTAGGCGGACACGCTGCGAGCTCCAGTTTTGCTGCCATCCTGGTCTTCAAAGGCACGGTTTGCGACGCCTCCAAATGAACATGTGTATAAATCTTTGGAGGTCAGGACCCACCGATGTGCACAGGAGAGAATGCACAAACTGGAGGTCTTATTTCAAACCTTCCTAGTTCAGTTTTGGCTTGCAGATAATCTTTTCTGTAGAACAGTAGTGTCAAGAAAAGCACTGGTTATTCATGATGTGTTCTCAAGGTGACAAAATTAGAAGAGACTAAATTGGAGAGCAGTATGTCATTTTTAGTAACAGGTTCCTTTTTCTGGATTTGTAGGGTGTGAGGATTGCGGTAAAAGCCTTATAGGAGAATGCAAACTCCACGGACCACTCATCAGGGCTAAAGATAGGGTTATTCCTAGCCGAGCCCGTCTCACCCTACCTCATTACCTGACTTTGCGAGTGTTGGAGCTGCGAGCTGGAAACCAGCAGAGTAAGTATTTTAGCTTTTTTTCCCACACTTGAGAAAGAGGAGGCAAAAGTACTAACACTGGCTTGTTTTCATGAATAACTTAAGGCGTAATCATTGGGCATTAAGAGTATGAAGACTGCTTTATTTACAGCTGAGCACAGCTAAAGCTCACATTCAGCTACTGTTTTTTACGACTGATTTCTAGTAACCTCGATGCATAGACTGACAGCAGGACATTAGCCAGAGCTGGTGTGACATTTAGCTGTGAGCAATCAGTTAGCCCTGTTCAGTCAATGCAAGTTTAATGAATGCTGAATTTGTACCTGATAGTAACAGCCGTGCATTATTACATGGGTTTTTTTCTTGTCCCCAAGCATGCGAAACAGGAAAGAGTATTCACTAAGAGGTTAGAAACAAAATGATAAATAACATCCCTCACCTACCCCCTGCAAACTCAAAGGAACACAGGGGATTAATTTACCTTTTGCAGCATTTTCGGTTCATATTATAGAAAGACTGTTGTTTCATTCTGAGGGCAGGGCAGTTTGAATGCCCAAACTTGAACAAGGGAACCACATCCCTAGCGTGCAAATTTTCCACAGCTACCTGTGTAAAATTAGTTCTGCCTAGATTGCGTTTCTGGAATTGTTGTGTCTTGCCTGTTGTGTCACACCATTGGTATTAGGCAGGGGAGCAAATGGAACGATTAAGATAGCTGATGTTGTGGTTTTGTAGATTCTCTCTGCTCAGATTGGGAGAGAACCACCTTGTAAAGCATGCCAACAAGCACAGCAGTATGATAACATCAGCTTGTAGATTGAAGAGTATCAGCACATTTGTGTTATGTACTCAGTTTAATATCCTGTCACGGATTTTAGGCACACTCGTATTGAATGCAATATCCATTTTAAAAAAGTCTCTGTACATATTTACATCCTTTTCAGATTCTTCCTGTTAGAATTATTTACCTATTATTGTTTGTCTAGAAGAAGAATTCATGTGTTCAGCACTATTGTGTTTATCTCCATTTTCACAATGGTAAATATGCAACAAATAGTTTGTGATGCCTATATTAATATTAGACTGGTCTTTTTTTATTCACAGTCCTTGGAGTATTTGCAAAGAAAGTAATACAGAAGAGAACACAGTTTGGTCCTTATGTTGGTCAACTGTCTACAAAACTGACCCGCTATGATGAGAGCAGGCTAGTCCTGCAGGTAAAAACCCGGTGACTTACTATGAAGTGTATATGTGCCTTTAACAGTTCATATGTATTTCTGTATTTTAACCAGTCAATTTGCCTTCAAATCTAATTATTAGTTTTACTTCTGATCTGTTTCTATGAATTGAAATCATATTATTAGACTGCACAGCATAGCCTGAAGTACCAAAATGTTCCTGTATGCTGTGTTTTTTAGAAGTTTGCCTTCCTGCTTTCTAGTTTTACAACCTCCAGGTTGATTTACCTATCAGTCTAACACCTCTTGGTAAACTTTCACAGCACAGTTACTGGAAGTATCCAAGGATAGTGCTGTCTTCCCAAATAAGACAGAAGGGTTTGTACTTGATACCATGCCACTGGGAGGGCTAAGTTTGTGCCCTGAATTAGCAACAGTGGCAGAAATATGCACTAAGGCATCTGCTTAGCAGTGTAGGGATGGGAAAGCACTTCTTAATAATGTGATTATATATATAAACTTTGACACACAGGGCTCTAACTCAGTTTATTTAGTCAGGTTGTTATTTAGGGCTGGTACCATCCCTTGCTGCGTGTGCAGACACTGGTCATCTCATCTGGACTGTGACACTATTGTTTGTACTTTATCCAGCACAAATAATGGGCCCTGAGGACCAGCCTAGCTTGGACATAGCTGCATGCACATCCTTTCCCACAGGAATTCCTTGGGAGTGATAACTGATCATCATGCTCTACACCCCGGTCTCCGCATTTTGCTGCACGAGGTCATGCTGGGGCACACCTCTCTGTCATATGGCAAGTCTGTGGTCAAGCCACAGCCTCTGTCAGGAGTTCCCGACAGGCCATGGTTCTTCTCGAGCCTGCATTTCATATCAGGCCCTGTCACCCCCCCAGGAGAGAGGGACCAGCAGCAGCTGTCCTGTGACATGCTTTCTGCCTTCATTTGAGCTTTCTCCAGAAGCTTGGGACTGACTGGAAAACACTCTGTTGTGGAGGAAGGCATAGATACCGATATTTCTGTAATTTCATTTGAGAGCACAAGAAATAGCTTCAGTAATTGTTGTAAACTTCATTTGCTAATGGAAGCCACGTGAATGGTCTGCAAGGAAAGTAACATGGTGCTTCTGTGGGATTTCCGTGGTATGTTGACACCAGAGAGGATTTGTTCTTCTCCATAACATTGTAAACCACACCCTATGCTCTATCAGTCAGCCCCGTTTGCTTAAAACTGTGCAGTGATAAGCACAGCTCTGGCTGATAAATGGGCTGTTTCTTCAGAAGAGGAGACCAGAGCCCCAGATTTCCTACCTGACAACAGCAGCTGCTTTGACTTCTCCTTAGCAGCATTCTGAGTATGTGACCAAACTTGTCCAGCAGGCAGGTGTTTTCATTGGAAACATGACAAAGTTAGATAAAATAGTTCCAAGAAGCAATAGAAATGCAACTTGGTTTGCAATTAATTGCTCACTTAGCTGGTTAGTAGAACAGATACATGCTGTGCTGATGTCTTTTGTGCAGCTTTAGCTGTCCATGTTTGAGAGCATAGCTGCAGAAAAACAACTGTTTTCTATGAAGTCGGGAGCATTTGCCTCATAGAGGCTTTCGCTTGGAAAGGAATCTAGGAAGAATGAAGTAAAGCAGGAAAAAAAAATCTTTCTGGCACAATTGTTCATTTGTATTTACTTTGCATTGTTAAGGGGAAAAAGAGAAGACTATTAAAATGCCATTATATTGTATGTTACATCTCTTGACTTACTACACAAGTTATACAATTGTTCCGTGCAAAATGTAGCGTTAATACAGCACAAAAGTTTGAGATTATCAAGTACTCAGGAAATACATTAAGGCATAAAGCTTATCTTTCTACCTGCCAGCACTTAGTTCTTATAACATTATCTTTATATAACATAAAAAATGATGAAATATAAACTGGAAATACATACAAAGGCCTACAGTTATTTTAGTAGCTGAGTGCCTCGGCAGATATTCATTCTTCACTTTCTTTTGCGCTCAGTATTCTTTAAGAGTGACCTACTTTAAAACAACCCCAATTTCAAAGGACATATGACCAAGACAGGGTAAGGAATAGCCATGATTCCAAGTTAAAGAAAACTAATGTGCCTCTATACAGGGCCTGGTTTTATCATGTTGTTGTTCCTGTCCTCCCGCCTTGTTTCAGGTATTGAAAGATGGAGGGAAGTACTTTCTGGACACTCCCAATGAAGACTGTGGAAACTGGATGATGTTTGTCCGGCTAGCCCGGAACCAAGAAGAACAGACCCTTGTGGCTTATCAGCACTGTGGAGAAGTCTACTTCACAACTGTTAAGGTAGTTAAACCCACATTGCTTCACCCGTCATCCAGATGGAAATTTATAGGCAAAGGTTGTGAAAGGCTAACGCTTTTACAGATGAAAAATTGATTATACTCAGGTAACTGTATCTTTATTACATACCACCTTTTATATCACTTAATCCATAGTAAAGCAAGCAGTGTATGGGGTTTTCCAGTAAAAGGTACTTACTGTCGTGGGTAGTGAAGAAACTGAGCAGAGAGAAACAGAAATATCATTCATGATGGCGGTGTTTAAACGTGAATGTTGTAAAGTTCTTCAGTTCCAGACAGGTACACGGTGAGATTATCTAGCAGTGTTACATTCAACAGTACTTCAACCTGGAAAGAAGGAACACACTCCTTTCCTTTATTACATTTTTGGACACACACGTTGTATTCTGAGCATGTAACCAGGTGCTCAGGAACAGGGTGCTAAGTAGAATATTTACATGCTATTTTCCTCTCTCATTAAATCTGAAGACTTAACTGCAGAATTTACAATACTGTGATGTTGCCATGAAATGATCAGTTTATGTTAGAGATTCTGGGCTGTGGCTTTGTCTGAGGAGAGAGAACAAAGTACTCTTTATTTATAAATGACAATGAAAAATACAGTCTGTCTTTTTTTTTGTTTTGGCCACTTTCTCAGGCGAAGTTTGTTTGAATCAGAACTTACTCTTTTGTACACTTAAGACGCTGAAGTCCGTAGGTTGAACTTCAGGAATGTGTCTTGGAACTGTGCTGTGTATCATGGGGGATGACTCTGGTCCCGGTATCATTCACAGCACTGTGGCATCCTGCAGATTGTCCCCTTTTGCTACACTTAGGCACACCGTGCTGGTCATGTCATGAGGCTGCCTTAGGACTGGTTATGAAGATAGTTTCTCAAGATATTTTGAATAAAGCCTCTTAAGTTGGGAGTAGAAGGATTGCATCCTCTCCCCACTGTTTTTACAAAGAGATGGGGTTTCAGTGACAGGAAACTGCAGCTACAAAAGCATACATGTAAGTGGCATACTAACAGCACTATTAGCATACTTTCTGTCTTAATGACTGCAGTCCCTAGAAATAAGTATTTTAAAAATACAGAATTATGAGGAAGTAAAAATCATCCACGGTTGCTGTCTGTCTGGTCACAGGAGTGTTTGACAGGGGTGCTGCCATAGCTTTCTCCCATTGTCACAGGTGAGACAGAATAAATGACAACTTGTAGTGGATTTGGGTACTGGTGTTTAATCTCAGTTTTACTGACATTAGAACTTCTACGTTACTTGACTATTCACACACTGATGCATTGCTCTCCCTCTGAAGTCAGGTTGACTGGGTCTCAGCTTCCCACAGCAGAGATAGCTGCTGGTCCAGGAATGTTGGCAGAAAGTCATGACCATATCATGCTGTGCAGCTCTCTGTGGGTACCGGTGTCACTGGCCAAGGTCCCAGGACATCCCCTGGCATTTGCCTCTGTGGAGCTCCCGCGTGCTGGGTTTTGTCCATCTAAATAGACTATATGCAGGAGTACAATGCATGATTGGTCTCCTAGGTGGTGGCTCTGCCTCATGTCCTTTATTGAGTGGAGGATTCAGTACATACCCTTTCTGTTCAGGTCAGGTGTTATCAATTCATACAACCAACCCATACTAGTTGTACTTAGCAAGCAGGCTTGTGCTTGGGAGTTTAAAAATTCAGTTTTTGACATTACACACACAATTACCTGTCATCTGTCAGCATTCACAATCTAAGTTGTCTTTCACCTACCATGCTTATCGAATACCAATGTGAAAAATTAGATTATTGGCTCCCTTAGACCTGTGTGGGAAGGCTTCAGTGAAAGGGGGGCAGAGGTGCAATAAAGCATGTGCATAGTGAACCTCACACATTAGAGCCAGAGGGTGGAAATATGCAAGTTTGACTTGCAGTCCACATAGTGATCAACTCTGTACCCATGCTATGTGAGTGCCATGATGCATTTTTCCTTTACCTGTACCCTATAGTTAAGTGTTGTGTCCAGTGGGCTTCAAAACATCTAGGAATAGGCATGGGATGTTGCTTGGAAAGACTGCTGGATGCCTGGACATCACAGACAAATAGATCTCACTGAGCAAAGGTCATAAGGGCTGAGACATCCTTCCTGCTACTGTCCCCCAAAAATCTCTGTACATATGCATTTCTGCTTTTAGAAACTGAGAAGGTGTCAAATGCTAGTGGATAGTAACGCTCAAAAAGTGCTTGAATCTTGAAACTGTTACTAATAATTTAAACAGATTCAAAGAATGCAATTTGGATAAGGACACAAATTGCACATGCATACCCCCCACATCCCACAGTCTTCAGTATTATTTGGTACAGGAAAATTGGCACAAGTAAACATGTGCTATTTTCTTCCATTCACAGCCAATTGAACCCCACACAGAATTGAAAGTATGGTATGCTGCCGATTATGCCAAATTTATGGAAGCTTCTGCAGTCTTCATTAAAGAAGAATCTGACGTCTGTCCTTTGCCTCCAGTAGCAGTAAGTACCCCTAATCTGCATTCAAGCCCTCTCCAGACATAGTAAATTACAGTTTAAGTGCTTTCTCTGTTTATGTAGCTCTGGTAATGCTAGAGTAGACCCTAGAGTAGTAGGCTAACACAAAGCCAAGAGCAATTTTAACCAAATGGCTACTCAAGAGAAAGACGGCTCTTCCTCTCCTGCATTTATAATCCAATGGAACCATTAGATATAGCCAGAAGTAAGTGGCACCAGTGGGATGTGTTGGAAAGACTTAAGAATGGCATTAATATGTACATAACCAAGCTGTCCAGCCTCTGACTTCTTTCACCAGTTCCCCATTGTTATGTTCTGACTGGTTCATCAGGTAATGAATGCACTGATAACTTCAGTCTTGCCTGTGCAATAATCCTTCTCTTCTAATCCCAGTACCTTCCCCTCTGCATGATGGTAGGAATCCTTAAACTGACAGGAAGTTTGTAAGTATGTGTTGAAAACATGACTGTAAAGATTGATACCTATGCTAGGAGAAATGTTAAATAGGAATGTGATAGAACCAGGAATTCCCTTCTAGGAAGGGAAGTAACCCACTTGCTGCATTTGTGTATGAGGGCTTTAGAGTATACGCCAGAAAGAAGGAGTGGGAGGGCCACAGCATCAGCCACAGGTAAGGGACAGGAGGGCTCTGTCTGTAAATAAAGACAGAGTGGACATAGACTCACCATGTTCTCCAGAGCAAGCTAGCCCAAGAGCAAGGAAAAGTAAAGACAATTTATGAGAAGTTTAAGTAAAATGCAGGGACAGCTAAGAAAATATATGGCTGTATATTAACTGGAAGTACATTTCATCAGTGACTGGAGTTTTTTTGTAATTGTTTTTCATTGGAATTTTCCACAGAAATAATACTTCCAAATAATGCATTGCTTGCCAAAAAAACTTTTATGCTTTAATGCCTCTAAGTCAGGATAGGCTTGACATCCCCAAACCTAAGGTGTTTCTTACTGAGTTTAAGAAATTCTAATGCCAAACGTAAAGCTAAGTGAGGAAGTCTTTCCTGGAGGCATTGACTGATACGGTCTGGTAAAGCATGGAGTCAGCCCAAAACATAAGGAAATCCTGTACAGCTAAACTACAGTTGTGTGCAAAAACCCATCCAATTTTTGTATGGTTGCAATAGCAGATAAATTATGTTAGCCTAAGTATAAAGTGCAATTTGCAACTTCTTTTACGACTAATTCAATAAAAGGAACAAATGTAGAGACTTTGAAATTCAGTAAGCACAGATAAACAAAGGTGAAGGACGCTGGGCTGTTACAGTAAATGCTAAACAAAAACATGGAAATCGTTTTTTCACCAACCATTCTTTTTTCCTTCTAGTTTGTAGACTCCTAGAGAGAATCCATTTCCAACTGAACAGCTGTGTGGTACTACATTGAAGTAAATATCACAAAGGACAACAACAGGTCTTGGGAAAGCCCAGGAGAAGATGTAGGGTCAGTGAGAAGAATATGACCTTTCCTTAGAATGGCTTATAAGACCTGTTTCTGTTTTCATTGCAGAAAGAGCCTGTAGACCCTTGGATGTGCTCCAGCTGTAGAAGCACTTTTGCAACTTTTGCTCTGCTAGAATCTCACCAGTGCACGCATAAAGACCGAGTCCTTACCACCAGGTTCAGACCACCAAATAAATTGGGACCTGTAAAAGCAAAAAGCAAACTCAAAGGGAAACTGAGAGGAGCAGCATTAGGCAAAAGCATTGCTCAGTGCTACGGGACCATTTCTTGCTCCTCTGCTGCAAAGCTTAGCTGTGCCAGCTCAGGAAGCAATTGCGATGCTCTTGTGAGGTTTATACCTAAATGGAGAAATGGCCGGTCTTCACTGTTGAAGGGAAGAGAAGTGAAGCAGCCGGACGGTTACCCTTGCCGACTCTGTGGGAAGATATTTGATTCCATTGACAAGCTTACAGTCCACACTTACGTGCACAAAGGGGAGCGCCCCTACAAGTGTTCGCAGCACGGATGCACGAAAGCCTTCATTTCCAAATATAAACTGCTCAGGTACAGCTCTGAAGGCACTCCTTCTCTGGTGGGTGTGTGGGGAAAAAAAAACAAGGACATCTTTTTCCTCTTGAGCATCCTAGAGACAGGTAATCCCCAAGTTCCAGGTTTTATTATTCCTGTTTTGATAGAATTGGAGAAAACTAGTCTCCCTCAATTGCGGTGGCTACTCAAAAAAATTACATTGAGCAATTTGAACCTACTCTGTGCTTTATGATTAACACCTTCCCACCGAAAAAAGTTAGGCTTTTACTAATAATCTGAGAACTTGTGAAAGTGCCTTCCTTCAAGTGCGCCAGTGTTTTCAAGTCCTGAAGCTGCACTGTGTACTAGAGTGAATGTAAATGCAAATAACCTTTTTTTGTTTGTTTGTTTTAGGCACTCAGCCACTCATTCTCCACAGAAATCTCACCAGTGTGGCTACTGTGAAAAGACCTTTCACAGGAAAGACCATCTAAAGAATCACCTTCAGACTCATGACCCTAACAAGATGGCTTTCAAGTGTGAAGAGTGTGGCAAGAAATACAACACCAAGTTAGGCTATAAGAGACACTTGGCTCTTCATGCAGCCACCAGTGGGGACCTTACCTGTAGGGTATGTGCCCAGGAGTTTGGCGGTACCGAAGTTTTGTTGGAACACCTCAAAAGCCATGCAGGTAAACCAACTGGCAATACCAAGGAAAAGAAACATAAGTGTGATCACTGTGAGCGTCACTTCTATACCCGTAAAGATGTGCGGCGTCACATGGTAGTTCACACAGGCTGCAAAGACTTTCTATGCCAGTTTTGTGCCCAGAGGTTTGGGCGGAAGGACCACTTGACTCGCCATACTAGGAAGACTCATCCACAAGAACTTCTGAAGAGCAGGTTGCAGAATGGTGACTCAGTGGGTCTCCTTGACCAGCTTTTTCCATTCAAACTGAAGGAAGATGCCAGCATACTGTCCCCTTTTCCTGAAAGGATCTCTGTGCAGAATGGGATTTTGAATAGTTCGGAATCAGAGGGATACAACTGTTCACATGTTCATTCCCAGCCAAGCTTACAAACTGCTCTTCCTCTTGAACCTTCTCCTCATTTGCAAAGGATGGGCTGTGCAGACAGCCTTCCAGCTGTCCATCCCACACCATGCTCAACAGCTGTTCCTGCCAATCTGAACCTTCATCAGCCTAATAAATACGACCTTAATTCTACCTCATTTGCAGCAGGATCCCTCAAGAATCTACCAATAAAAGTGGACGTTAAAGGTTACAATGTGCATCTTCTTGAGGACCTGCCCTTACCAGAACCTCAATCTCTCCACAAAATCAGCCTGGAAGAAGCTTCCTCAGGGCCTGTAGGGGATACTAACAAGTACCCAATGCACAAGGAGACAGAGGCAGCAGCTGAAACTACGAGCCTGCCTTTCATGGATCTCACTCATGTGATGGGTTTCTGGCAGCTCCCACCAGGTGACAACCAGAACACTACTGGGGACATCACAACGGCATTTGGTCCAGAGGAACCGTCACACAGGCTGAATGGCCTTGGCCAGCAGCAAGGTCTTCAGCTAGCAACTGGTGGGATGGCCATAAACCAGCTGCATCATCTTCCTCGCTCCTTTCCGTCCACTACAAATTCTGTAACGTTGCCTCATTTTCACCATGCCTTCAAATAACTATCACCGTGGGTTGTTTTGGTTTTGTTTTTTTTCCTTCTTTCTTTAAGACTGTGCTTCTTACTTAAATTTGTTAGGATGGGGTATTTTTTGTTTGGTTTGGTTTTTAAGAAAAACTGCCCCAAATGTTTCAAAGCACATTATGAAGATGGTAGTTAAATTCAGGATGTTAATAAACAAGAAGCTCTATTTTTCATACTACTATTAGGTTTTTAGCATATGACAATAGTAGGACTAACGTATTTCCTTCGACACCCTCAATACTGTTGTTTCTTACCTTTCACGCAAACAACTGAATAAATACCTTCAGTGATAACAAAGCATCATAACAGGCACAATAAAACTATGGCTGCTGCGGTAGGAGAAATAGGGTTAGGATGAAGGGGAAGAAGGGGGAAATCACAGAAAAATAATTTTAATGAGCCATAAATCACAGCAAATTTATATACATGGCAAATGTAACAAACAATTTATCTGTCAAGCACTTAATTACTGAATTTTATGAACCTTTAATTTAAATCAGAATCATTCCAAGAGTAAATCTTACCTCCTTGTTTCACTTTTTTAAATCAAGAAGATCACTATCGTGATTACATTTAACTAGATTTTGTTTTCAGAAGCATACTTCAGCTGTGTGCCTCTCCTGCATTTTGCATGACTGTGTAAGAGCCAATGCCTTGTATATGTGCAGTTTTCAGAATGGAAAGTGAATTGTCTGAAAGGTTAGAGCAAAACATTAATTTTAACATAGAGCTGGATCTGGCAAGGTATCAGACACTGGTCTTTCTCTAGTAAAGCACTTAAGCGTTTGCTTAAATTTAAGCATATGTTATCCCATTGGGTCAACGGCTTGCTTGATTTAACACTCAATAAAAAATAATGCTTTCTACCTAAGGGGCCTTTATTCACCTTTTGTTGATAAAAATGGCCTTTGTTTAGTCTGGGAAATTATTATTAATAGCAGCCATCCGAAATGTGGATTCCTTCATGGAAAGCCAGCCCTGGCCCTGGGGAGCCTGCAACCAAGTGGGACCCCTTGGACCACACCAGGTCCACTCACAGAAGGGTTGTGGTGGTGAGCTGACACTGGGCCCTGTTCAAAACCAGGTTATGAACCTGCCTGAGAGGTGTCACCTGAAATGAGTGGTGTCTCCTCCTTGCCCCACTCCCTGTGCCGTGGATAATGCTTGAGCCATTTGAACCACAGGGCTTTTGCTCAGTAGCGTTGGGACAGCTGCAGTTGGACTTCCAGCCTTTGCTGCTTCTAAACCAGAACCACGAGGACGTCTGTTTGTTTCGTGGGGGAAATTGTCCATGTACATTTCCAGTTGATGGTGTGACAGTCCTGGCACCTGATGCAGGAACAAGCAGAAATTTAAAAAAAAACACATCTCCCTGTAGATGTCGCAATTAAAAAAACCCACCACCACAAACCAACAAACTCATCATCGTTTACTTTCTTGCCTAACCCATAGTTAAAAAAAAAAGTAAGTTAGGTTTTAGTCAATGATGCAGTTACTAATGGATTCTGTTGCAGCTAAAACAGACACAGGATTTCTGAATCGGACTAAATTCTCAAACCTAGGGAGCCACTCTTCCATTAAATCCAAAGTGAGTTAATAGTACCTGCTGATCATTACAAATATAACATGAAGCAAGTGTGTTCTCTTCTCCCCATTAATCACAGGAATAGTTCCAGGCAGCTTCAAATTAAAAGAAAAAAATATTTATGTGATTGATTGATTGATTGCTATTTTGCTGTTAGTGAACTACACTGACATTGTACAGCTACAATGATCTGAATATTCTCACATCTTTATCGGTTCTTGGATTAAGGAAAGGTTGTACTATTGCAGTTCATGGGTGAATATGTTCTTCAGATAGACTGCTGAGGGGTACTTTTTGTTAGGAAAATTTTTGGCACATGGCAAACCAGAAGGAATTTTTAAGATCATTCTTGTAATGACAGCAGCAGGAGGAAGAGCAGGTGCTGCACAGTCATGCCCGGTTAGCAGTTATTTAAATTATGAGTTCCAGAATTGGGGAAAAAGGTTGCAAACAATGTTATATGCCCATATATATGTATATATATGCACATATATGCTGGGCTCGTATCTTCATCCAGACTTGGAAAGGTGCGTGTATATTCCCTTACTGCATTGTTTTCCTTGTTCGTGCAAATTGTATTCACTTGGCTTCAAAGCTTATGTACTTGTAAAAAAAAAAAAAAACACAACAAAAACTACACGGAAACCACCACAAATTTTGTAGCCCTGCCTAATCATATATTGTTAATGGACATTTTTGTCATTTTGGTTTGTACTTCTCCAGGCGGTGTAACTAATTACTGAAATACATGGCTTTTAATTAAAACGTGATGTTAAGAAGAAAACGTTATGGAAACCCTGAGCTAGGCTGGTGCCCACATTCTTTGAGCTGCTTGACTGTAGCTGGGTGCCTGAGCTCTGAGCTGCCAGGAGAGGTGCTGCTGCCTGACCTCAGCCCCTTCCAAAATGTGGAAAGACGCGGTGGCAGGAGATGATTAGCCTATGTAAGTACAGGTTAAAGACCGAGTCTCATTCAAGTAAAAAGAAAATTAACCACTTTTGATATTAAAACACTTAAAAAGCACATGATGATGTCTACAAGTGAAACACAGAAGGAAGCCTTAAACGTGTAATACTGTGGCATTAACCCTTCAGTCCATTCAAATTTCTTTTTCCAGATTCTTGACATCACAAATGTGGAGGAAGGTGATGATGTCCCATCATGAAGGAAGGCAAGTTATTTTAGAAGGTTATGTTTGCAGAAAAATAAAAGCTTCACAACTTGAGATATACCCCTGAGTCATCTAATACTTACAAACAGGGCTGGACTTGCCCGCAGCTTTTGTTCGGGGGACTTCTGTGAGCATTTCTGAGTGGCCATCAGTAGCTGAGGCTCATGAATGCTTTGTTTCTGGGCAAAACAAATTCTTAGAGCACAGTAGACCTGCCAGCTGTGGGCCTGAGTACCGCGTTCCTGAAAGAGCAATAGTTTGGTTTTGATGGGGTTCATATCCCAGGCAAGGCAGTGCTAAAGGAGAGATGCGGGGACAGCAGCACGTCCTCACCAGGTCTCCCAGGGCTTACCTGTGGTGTCCGAGAGGATGGGGCTGCAGTGTGCAGGCAGGTGTGACTTCAGGTGGTGACGGTGGAGAAGGCAACAGGAGCTGCAGGACGTCTGTCTGGTGGCACTGCCTTTGGCTCGCGCGGGGCTGCCTCAGCACCGGGGTGGGGAGAGGCAGCCCTGCACGCACCGGGGGTACGGTGGAGGAAGAAGGCAGCCCCACCTGTGGCTGGGCCTCCCGCCTCTCCCGCGCAGCCCGTTCCTCCACCACAGAGCAGTGGCTTGGGAAGGTAGGATAGACCGCGGCACAGCGGCTGAGGGGCAGAACAGATAGATCTGCCCCAGTTCAAGCACTGACCCTCCTGAAGATCTTAGGATATTTTTACCTTGCATCATAGTAGAGATAAAAACACTCTTTTCTTCTGAACACTGCTCGGAAGGCTGTAGAAGCAGAGCGATGCATGCCAGCTAAACAACAAAATTGTTATAATCAAGCGATACCATAAAATAGAGACACTTAGGAAACATTTGGTCTCATAGAAAAAGATTACTTATTTTATAAAAAAAAAAAAAAAAAGGAAGCCATGTAAGCCTGCTGAAATAATGTTAAGGAGCTAAAATTATAATACATGGAACAAAAGACTTTGTGACCTCTGTGTAAGCCCAACTATTTCTGGCGCTCATTTCCCATCCCCTGTAAGAAACTATGTTAAGTTCTTGTTCTTTTGGTTTTATTTACCAACTGTTTCTGTGGGGACTCTCCATTTTCTTAACCAACGAGTTGCTGTTAATTCCTGAGATTTTTTTCCCAGACAGTCTGAAACAGGATGGTAACTTCCATATATTAATAATTGATTCATTCTTTTGCTAGCAGAATTTTAAAGTACTCTTCTTCAATACACTGTTCCTGTCCCTATAATTACATTTTCTATACGACACAGGAAAACAGTCTGCGAAATCAATACCAAACAGCTCTACACACAGATAGAAAGTAACGGTGAGAAGGCAAACAAATGCAGTAAAACTTGCTCTAACTTTTAAGGGGTCATTTATTTGGTTGTAAAAGAAAGCAATTGAAATAACATTGCACAGGATAGTCTGGGATGGGCTTCCCCCCTCTTCTTCCTGAGTTGAAAAAAATGCTAAGAAGCACTGCTTTAATCTATTTGGGGTAATTTCATGCCTGTTGTTTCTAAGCCAGGTTAGCTACAGGCGTTACGCTTGTTTCAGTGTCATCCTTTCTATATTTATCTTGTCACTATGAGCTACAGCCTAAGCAGAGCTTAATTAAACTCTGTAAAGTCTGGTATTTGTTATTGCTGTATCCAGCTACTTCTCATCTTCATTTACTCTATAAACATTTAATGGGCAAGGATATTCCTTATGCATTTTAATTGAAAGCCTGACTGAAAACTCTTGGGCTACAAAAAGAAATTCAGCCCAACGTATTGCAACATTGAAAGTTTATGCAAGGTGGCCCAAGGTTGGTAATAAATCATGTGGCCAAAAAATAAGAAGGGGGTATGCCTCCATGACATCTCTGTCTTGCCAATCAATTCTGAAAAGCAACTGAAGTTTTTAATGGAAGAATGCGATTTGCTTTTAATTAGACTGAACTTGAAGGGCTTTGAAGCTGATTCACAGCTTACATGGCCGTTTATCACTTATCAATCACTACCATTTATCATTTATTGTTTACTGGAAGTTTCTATTAAATATATACACAAAATTCCAAAATGTTGATTTGTCTTGTTCAATGTAGCAAAGCATCATGGAAAAAAAATTGTGATACTGGATCCTCCTACATTTTCTGGAAACCATTGAATGAACCACTGGTAACATCCATCTCCTTTTAGGCAACCAGTTAATTAAATTTTGGCAACTGATACACAAGTAATCTCACAACTTGAAAAAGGACAGCATAACAAACTTTGTAGCCTAGAGGAGAAAAAAAGGGCAAAAAAAGACAGTGAATTTCAGTTTGCTTATTTTATTGAATGTAGTGGCTGTGGCACTTGGAGTGGAAGAGGTGCTGGAAAATTTTGTTGCTTAAGGTCTTCCATAATGCTTCAGAAGAAAACCTTAACACATCCTTCCGACCAGCCACTTTATCTTCTGTTGCACATTTGCGGTCTGAAAGCAGCAACAAGCCATACACTTTGTTATTTGCATAGAAACAGCTTTTGTATTTTGCTCCATTTTACCTAAGAAGATTAAACCACGATCCCTGGGAAGGTGATGAAGCAGCTCATCCTGGAAACCATTTCCAGACACTTTAAGGATGAGAACACTTATTTGCACCACTCAAAGCCAGTTTCTCACGTCTGCTTTCTCAGCTGAAAAGCACTCTTGCTTCACACTGAAGCAGAGCTCTCATTAGCCCAAAGTGCTCTGTAAAGCACCTGGCAAAGCACAAGTTTTACAGAAAATGCAGCTGCCGGCAGCCCAGCACCTACAAGTTCACCCAGGCCAGTTGCTTCCATGGTTCTCAGGGACATACAGGACTGTCTCCTATATTTTGGACGCTAGTGTGGATGTCTGTCCTGGGGACCTGCTGGAGGCACAGGCTGT